GCTGAACAAGTTCTGGGATGAACCTAATAGATTAAAGTAAAGTCTAAGTACAATAATCTGTCTACTTATATGTGCTACATGTAAGTGTTCAAGCTCAGTCTGTAATCAATAGTATATCTAGGATCTATGATAACAAGACATGAGGGTCAGATAAGGTACATGAGGCTTAACCTCTGATCAAGCATGCAGCGCCAAGTGCGACTGCGCATAAGTACATGAGGCGCCAAGGGCGCTCCGGATCTTCATGAAGCAACATGCTGTATACATGCGCTGATCTAGGGTGACCATGAGGCGTACAGCCTCCATGGATCAGGTACAAGGCCATCTAGGCCAGGGGTGGGTTACAGCGCCAGGGGCGGCATCACAGCGGTCCAGACCGCTGTCTTTCTAAGTGCAGGCGGTGTTCCGCCGCGTCGGGAGTCTGGCAGAGCGGGGGCTGGCATAGGCAGAGCTGGGGCTCCAGTAGGTGTTACGGATGCCTGTAACAGTATCTTCAGTTTCAAAATATAATGCTGGAGTAGTGGAGATGCCCAAGACTGTGTACTGGTATCATCTGAGTCAATGTCATATGTCCATTCCAGCGAGTACTTGTTACAGGGATCTGTAACACCTACTAGAGCCCCAGCTCTCCCTACGCCTGTCCCCGCTCTGCTAGACTCCCCGCGCGGCTGTGCGCCGCCCGTACCTAGAAAGACAGCGGTCTGGACCGCTATGACCCCGCCTGGCGCTATGACCCCGCCCCTGGCCTAGACGGCCTTGTACCTGATCCATGAAGGCTGTACGCCTCATGGACACCCTAGATCAGCGCATGTATACCACATGTCGCTTCATGAAGATCCGGAGCGCGCCTGGCGCTTCCTGTACCTATGTGCAGCTGCCCTTGGCGCAGCATGCTTGATCAGAGGTTAAGCCTCATGTATCTTATCTGAACCTCATGTCTGGCTATCATAGATTTACGATATACTATTGATTACAGACTGAGCTAGAATACTTGTAGTACTTCCCTATAAGTAGACACAGATTATTGTACTTAGACTTTACTTTAATCTACTAGGTTCATCCCCAGAACTTGCTCATCTAAGCTTACCAGCTTCCTTGTGTGAGACCGCACTTCTAAGTCGCCCCCATACGACTTAGCACATATCCGCTAGCCCTGCATCTCGACGAGCGCCGTCTTACCGAGATCGCCGGAGGAATCCTTGACGTTCCGTCAAGGCTAGACCACGCTCAGCTTCAGTAGACTCACTCGAGTCGTCGCTGAGAAGACCTATCCTAGTTCGCACACGCCAACCGACGGTCAGCGTAACAGTACTGTGGTATAGTAGAGAAAGCTGTAGTCTGGGCCACAGTGTTTGATTGCAGGAAGAGATATTGATTCAGGCAAATATCTCAGATGGCATACCAGGGACACTCCTTCTGATGCTGGTCCTTGATGGCAGTATTGGTAGCAAGATGTAGTGCAAAATCAGGATTAACATTAGGTATCATTGGACTGATACTGTTGTGTAGATATCGATAGACCCCACTGTTCAATGAGCAGGTAGGTATGCAGGAAGAGGGGCAGCAGGGTAGAGCACAGGAAGGAGGCGGATGAGAAAAATGGGCAGGAAGGACAGCAGGCATGGTTCGACCATAAGGTAGACTTAATGTGGAGCATGAATACAGTATTCCAATGGCAGCTACATGCTGGCAGCAGACACACAGTGACAGTGAGTACTCACTCTGGTACTCACTGCAGCACACCCTGCAACACTAACTGCAAGAGGATGACACCACAGCCTCCGGCAATAATGATATGACATCAACTACACCATCCAGCCAAGTATTATTGCTCCAGATCACATGCCTTCACCCTCAGTATTGTCAACATTAGGCATCCACATTAATAACATGCTGACGAATGCCAGCAAGAATAAAATATGAGTACACATTGCCACACAAACAGAGAGTGAGGAAGTCAAACAGAAATCCTGGGAGGAGGAAACTGGAAGGAGTGTCAGATATACCAGCATTAGAGAATGAAGGATTAAAGAGATATGGGAGACGATTCAGAGGGACAATGAGATTGAGTAAAGAACACTGAGATGCTAAAGAAGGACGGTATCAGTCAAGTAAGTACCTGTCATCTACTGTCTTCAATGCACACATAGACCCCCTGAAACTCCCTATAAGGTCTGTCCATCTGGAACATAGTGTTGTTGGTAGAATGCTACCATTTAATAGGGTGACTCAAAGTAGCCACCTAACTTCACCTATGCATGAGTCTTATTGCATCCGACTGGTGCCCTTGCAGCTGCCTAGACTGCTAGAACAAGATACTAGATATCTCTCTTGCATAATTGCATTGCAGCCATAAGCCTAACCCTTCACTGAAATTTGTAATGCAAACTTGAATATCTGGAGCAACAACAATGTTCTAGGCAGCTGTGGTGATCTTCAAATGCCACAGAAAGGATGTTTTTCTGTATGTACATAATTTCACTGTTTGAGTTGTTCATTGTGACGAGATTAGTAATCGGGTCACAGAGTTACAGTTTAGTATGTTACTGAATGCAGTGTTGTTACTAACTCATTAAAAGAGTGGGTGACTATCCATAGGCCTGAATAATGTGGTTTGGAATGAAATAGAATAAAAAATACTATTTCAGGAAACCCTGCTGCGATGCCGCTGTTCATTTAGGATGACTTTCCCACACATTATTTTTTCACCCTCTTACAAACTCTAAATCTGTAGGCCCCCCCTTACAGATTATAACTGACGGATTATTCCATTTTGGGCCACTAACACCCTTGCTATCTGCTTACTCATTGCTTAGTAATCTACATCTGAGGTCCCTGTCTCATGCATCTCCTCCATAGTGATAGTTGTTGCCTCGTTCCACTATCTTGCAATATACAGAACCACCATGGCCCAATTTTTAAGCTCCCTTGTGAAGTTTTGCACTGAAGTTTTAAAATGAATGAACACGGTATCCATCATGTGATTATTAAAATTTCCCACATCACATGTAGCGGGCCCTGCCACAGATGTGGCCCTGCATGACTTATTTTATTCAAAGTGCGTTATGGTTTGGTTTTCTGTACGGATTATCTTTGGTAGATATGTTTCAAGGTCCATCATAATCTATTCTAAGAACTATTAATTTTAGTTAGATGTTAGAGGGTTAGTTAGGGTTAGTTAGTGGTCAGCTATGATTATATTCTGTCTTGGAGAAAGTTAAATGTTAAATTAAAGGCACATTTAATTACAAGGCTGGTGCACTGATAGTTACAATAGTTAATGCAATACATTACTCTTGTAACTATCATTCATTTAATGCAATATAATGACAGGGTAGCCTCAATTGAGGGTGTCAAAACTTTTAATTATTATCATTATCTACAAATATCATTGTCACACTGGGATATTTGCACCAGCTGCAATGTTGGCCAATACAGGAACTCAAAACTCAGGTTTTCAGGCTTTACATCAGGAAAACCCCAACTCACTTAAGCTTGCCTTAAACAGACTTAAGTCATACTTAGTGACTTAGCCTACTTTGCTAGAAATTCAAATTTGACATATTCAGGAGAAAGTTGTTCAGTCATATTAGCATACATATTTTGTTACAGGTTACACTAAAAAAATACAAAATTTACTAGGTAGATGATGCACAAGAGAGGAAACAAATGTGGCTAAGTTGATTAAGCAAGATTAAGTAAGTTGGGGTTTTCCTGATGACTAGGACTCAGGATTCAGGATTCAAAAAAAATTCCATGACCAAGTCCTGTTACAGTCATCTGCAACATCTACAAAAGCCCCCGCTCTGCCAGACTCCCGACATGGTGGCACGCCGCCAGCACCTAGAAGAACAGCGGTCTGGACCGCTGTGACACCGCCCCTGGCCTAGACAGCCTTGAACCTGATCCATGGAGGCTGTACGCCTCATGGTCACCCTAGATCGGCACATGTTGATTGTTGCCGCCTCATGAAGCCTCATGAAGATCCGGAGCACCCTTGGCGCCTCATGCTTAATCAGAGGTTAAGCCTCATGTATCTTATCTATCCTCATGACCGTCCTCATGCCTTGTTATCCGTGATAACATAGATCCATAGATATACTATTGATACAGACTGAGCTTGAACCCTTATGTACAGACGGTATATAAGTAGACAGATTAAAGTACTTATACCTTACTTTAATCTACTTGGTTTTCCCTTGAAACCTGCTCAACTAAGTCCTCCAAACTTAGTTGCCTCAGACCGCACTTCTAAGTCGCTCCCCGCGCTTAGCCGTATCCGCTAGCCCTGTATCTCGACGAGCGCCGTCTTACCAAGATAACCGGAGGAACCCTTGACATTCCATCAAGTCACCGAACACCCTTAGCCTCGGTGGGCTCATTCGAGCTGTCGCTAAGAAGAACTATCCAAGTCTACGTGTCAGTGTAACAAGTCCATTATATTAGAAAGGTTCGTGTGACCCTCTGTACCTGGGGCTTACTTGACTCTGAAAATCTAGTTGTGCACACTGCAGCTTGACACTTGTGTCGAGCTTCATCCTAAACTCTGCATGAGATTGTTATGATGCTTATCAATATATAACCTAATATGATATTTTAATATGTTCAAATTGATTCACTGATGGTTTGAGCAACACAAAACCAAAAAGATGGACTCACTTGAGTATGCAGAAGATTAGTGGAAATGTCCTGGAGGAGTCATCAGGCATGGGAAGTGGTCTATTGAGCTTTGATCATATTGACAACTCAGACTACTTAGCATCTTGAAGTAATTAACTGTTATTTAACGTTATAACCCCACTAACTCCAGTTATTTCACGGTTAATTCAAAGTGGGACATACCAGTCATATTGAACCTATTTAGTTATAACCCGGGTTAATAACAACACTGGCTGAACGATTGTAATTTCTCTGAACCTGGTCCAGCTAGAATTTCGAAGACTATGTTTTGGTACGGTATCAGATCCAGAAAGATGCGGAGACTCTCACATTGCATGGTAATGGTCATATTCATCTGTGCCACTGTGATATGGTTCTGGTTAACTTCAGCGCCAGTCTTGAGACCGAAGAGCGCCGCCTGGACTCTCGCAGCAGAGATACTGGATATACTTGATGCTGTTGTGGATGGATATGTACACCCTTCTATGAATTCATCCGTGCAAGCAGAAGAGAGCTTTTTGGCCCGCCTCCTCGAGCAAGACACAGCTGCTCAACAACTCCTACGACGTTTCTCCGACCTCTCTCAAATTGATTCATGCTTCTCGTCACATAGTGCTATTGAAGCGACTTCTGCACCGCCTGTCATGCCATTTACTGTGCCCACTTCTCATATCTACAACGTGTCTGGTTCTCGCATCAAGCCCATCTCGTGTCTGTGCTCTTCTCTTGCAGGAAAGAGACTGACAATGGTAGGTGGCGATCATGTGCACCGCTTCCACAACCTTCTCCTTGAACACCAGAGGAGATTCGAAGGGAAACGCTTTCCATGCCTCGGGAAGGAGTTCTGTACCCACCATCATCTGTGCTCACGGGCCACCCGCAACAATCCCGTCCTTAAAGAGGAGCTTTCACGCTATATCCGTTCGCCATCCACCGAAGAGCTTGTGCAAACTGGTTCATCATTGGTCAATTACGTTCTGTCGGATACTCTTCTTACCTTGCCCGACCCAGAGGCGCCAGAATATTCCGTACCGTATATCCACCCCTTCAGTGGCGTAAGGTCTCGCGAAACGTATTGGCTAGCTTCAGCGAGGAAAGCAGACATCCTTATACTGGGAAGGGGACCGTTTAGCGCACCGCCCTCGACGTACACAGGGAACTGGTCATTCCTTTCAGATGTTCCAACTTACACAAGGAGTTATCATGTGAACCCTTTGTTTGCATCACCGATACCAAAACCCCTTCAGATCGTGGATGCTGCAGTGCATGCTACTCTTTCAGTCTTTCTCCCTGAAATCCAACACACGCTAGACGCACTCCGCGCCAACGGATGCCTTGACAGAAAAAAGAAAGTTATTTGGTTGGTCAGCCAGCCGCGACTTCCTGAGAAGGGCCACGGTCAGACAAACGCTCTTCGCACACATTTACTTCCCAGAGGACAAGGCGAGCCATCTCCGGGCGACCCGAAAGCAGTTCTCCTTCGCCACCTTGCAGTGCTATCGACTGACGAGCGCCCAAAAGATTCATGGACACTTTACTACAACGTCCAAGGTATGTCGTTCAGTCGACTGAAGGTGGTATCGTCCCGAGTCGTCAGCAGTACTAATTCATGAACTCATCTCTTGCAATTGACATGTATACAGTCTACTTACAAGACCGTCTTCTTCGTCAAGTTCTGCCACGCTTCGGAGTTCCCCTCTTGCAGTTAGGGACACGCCTCGTCGAAGCTGGCCCTGGTGTTGCCGGCCCTTAGCTACAATGTGAAGGTTCACACACATAACGGGCGCGACTACCTCTTCAAGGATCACGAAAAGCGACGACAAAAGTAGTATATTTCTGGGTCCTCCTGTTTGTTACAACCCCTCTGAATAATCAGTTGTTCTTGCATTCACTCTTCATATGATGAGGATTTAGAAGCAACAGGCCCGTCAGCCGACGAACGTCGCGGCGAGCCATATAAGGAATCTGTTTGTCTTGAACCGTGAGGACTCGGCCATACCGTCTTCAGAACTAAGTACTAGAGGAAGTGATGAAATTTTGATAAGTGACCAACACTCATACACATGTGTCGGACAGCCTAAAGTAACAATAGACGGAATAACATCAATGTACGTAGGGTTTTTCACGAGCCATCGTGGTACCATCAAATTTATTAGTGTCTGTGCATCATGAATACACCTAAGCTAGATGGGAATTGGTCGAACGATAAGAACACTAAAGACCCCCAAGAATCCGCAAATAACTTAGTAATTTGACGAATTAATGAGTCGTGTACTACAACTCGAAATGCCAGGTCGGTCATTCACAGCCCCTGAAAAGCGCTCTCAATGACAGCCAGCTGCTGTACCTTATACAACTTCCCAGTGCCTGGCGCAGACACCGCGTCTTCCTTCCTCCCCCTATACGCCACGCCACCATCTACGCCCAATCCCTTCAATACCTCCCCAATACGCTCCTGCACATGCTCCCACGCGCCCTGATTCCTAGGCTCCTCCTGCACCCATAGCACCTCCAATTGGGTATTAGCATCGGAATAAGGCGTAAGCGCTTCACTGAGCGCAGCAAAAGGGAACGGCGCGAGCTCTTCGACGCGAATGAGGGCGACGCTCGATTCGAGGTTGCGTGTTTCGCGCTCTTTTGCAAGGTCGTAGTAGATCTTGCCACTGAGCAGCACGACGCGCTGGACAGCTTTGGGGTTGGCGAGGGTTAGCGGGTCCTGGAGAACAGGTTGGAATGCTGTTCCTGGGCCCATCTCAGTCAGCTTCGACGACGCAGCCTACATGTTTATTGTTAGCCAATGCAGGAAAGGCATGGGACGGCACGTACAGGAAGTCGAAGTAGTCCCTTAGGAGCAGCCACAATGAGTGGTTTCCTGTAGTTCCGCTTGATCTGGCGGCGTAAAAGATGGAAGTACTGTGCAGGTGTGGTCGGGAACACTACGTGCATGTTTACGTTCACCTTATCTTGGGCAACGTAGGAGTCGTTTGTGAGCTAAAAAAATGTTAATGGACATTCATTAAAACCCGAGAAATAGATTTGCCTGCAACATCCGCTCTATACGGCAACTGGAATGCTCAGGACCAGCACCATCTAGACCGTGAGGGAGGAGCAGGACAATGCCGCTCTGCTTCAGCCATTTAGCTAAATGGGGACGGTAAGCCATCAGCGGAAAACACGCAAGCACACAGACATACTCTCTGAACTCGCAATGAATGTGTCAATGATGATTTGAGCTCCGTTAAAGAAGTCACCAAACTGAACCATAATAAAAATCTTGAGCTTAAGGTTCGACAGTCGCAAGGAAATAACAACGCACCTGCGCCTCCCAAATGGGCAATAAATCAGGTCGTTCCCAAGATGCTCCGTATTCAAACTACAATAGTGTTAGACTAAAACAAGGAAGGGAAAAACGTCTTACGCCAAGTACGGCCATTTCGCTGAGAGAGCCTTCACAAAAGAATAAGACAACATACCGAACCAAAAAAAATGATACATACTATTCGCCAGTTCCAGCTTGCCCTTCGCCTCCGTAAGCGCGTGGTTCAGCGGAACAATCACACCTTCTGTCTTCTGGTCCACCAGCATCGCGTGGCTACAAGTGTGTCAGTCTCCCTTAAACACCAACGTAGTATCGACGGCACCGATGACTGAACGTCCCCCTTCCTACATCCTGCCCCGCGATGCGCACATCGCAGCCCTCAAGCATCAGCGAGCCGAATGCCATCGCCTCTGCACTCGCCCAGTCGACCCCTTCGCCGCTCTCAATGCTCCTGAGACGACTTTTCACATGTCTGTTCAACCGCGAATGGATTTCCTGCGTCGGGCGTGGCCCGTGTCACTTTTGTTCATACAAGGAATGCATAGCACTTACAAACTCCTGGGGTACATGTACGCTGGCTTTGCCAACGTCCCTTAGAACAGCACTACTCACGCCTGTCTTTTCTTCACGTGCAGCGGGAGATGCTGGCCAAACCATGCCTTTCCACGCTCCCTCAAAGCTCACGGGAGGGGGAACATACGACGCTACATCCGTTAGCGCGGTATTCAACGCGGCTTTGTAACTGTCTCGGACAGCTTGTGCTGCTTCAACCGAGATCACGCCGTCCGACTGGAACATGAAGCCGTCAGCTCTCCCGTTGAAAAACGCAAAACGGAACCCGGCGTACGATAAGCTTATCTTCATACAACTTCGGGACAGAACTCCTGGAACGAATTTTTTCGTACATGAGTGGCTGCGTGAATGCTGGTTCATCAAGTTCGTTGTGTCCCCAGCGGCGATAAACAATGAGATCGATTACAATGTCCTTGCGGAAGTGGTTACGATACTTGAAGGCGATGTCGACAGCGCGAACCACGTCTGTGCGTGCTCAGATGGAAGTTGTGAGCAATGATCGAAGTAGAGACGAACCTTCGGGGGAGTCTCCGTTGACATGCAGAACTGGACAATTGATCATCTTGGCTATGTCGCTACAGTAAAAGGAAGAGCGGGCGGAGGAGGCGGGAGTGGTGTATCCGATGCTACAATGTATGTCAGTATTAATTCGGGGAAACGTGTATCGATTGACTTGTTACTGTGAGGCAGAGATTAGAACAGTAATTAAGTAGAGTTGACAGACATACTTGACGACAATGTGGACACTTCCGCCGCTTGTGAAGTGTGGAAGACCACCTGTAAACATCACGTTAAACTTTTACAACTCGTGATATCTGTATCGGGGCTACGAACTCAAACCAAGGGTTTCCATTACTACTCCCTGTCCTGTGAAGCTGGCATCGCCATGCAACTGGACGCACATAACCTAACGGCACATGTAAGCACATCGATCTACAAAAGAGATGCCCTGTGGTAATACCTTATCACCAAGCATGCAGTCTTGGTTATCCTTGCCGCTAGATAGGGTTTTAAGTAACCCATATTGTTTCGCTCTGGCTTTTCCAAGCGCAACAGGGCTCACTGCTTCCAAATGGGAGGGATTTGGCAGTAACGAGACTTTTATGCCATCAGCTTCGTCGTACTGCAATGTCGGGGATGCAACTTCAGTGATAGTCAGAACTTTCGCAGATAACAAAGGTAGGATGTGCACCAAGATGACTGAGGACGTCCCCGGAAACGCCCAAAGATTCGTCCACTTCACAACCGCCCTTTATTTTGTGGAAGAGGGAAGTAGGGTTGTATTCCAGGAGTCCTGTAAGCAGATTAAGGCGCCCTCTGTGGGGCATAGCAACGATGAGCTGAGTCATGCCAGCTACGTGTGCGTTAGCAATGATCCTCGTGAACGAAATGAACCGACCTTTGGACGCGGCCTCGAATAGGGCGTCCAATGCGGGAAGCATGGACTCCCCGCCCTCAAGTCCATATCTCTTTAAATTGGGAAACTTGACTTGTAAGAAATTGTCCAACACCTCTGACTTGGCAAGCAGGGCGTGTATGTTCTTTTGTTTATCCGCGTTGATGACAGTCATGGGCTCCAAAGCGCTCTGCGACTCCAATAGCTTCGCAAACCACAGCCTCTCCGTCTTGCTCGGGAGGTCCATATATTCATACGCGATGCGGCCAACGTAGACGGCGTTGAGGAATGAGGTGATGTTTTCAAGGGTCCATTCCTGCTGGCCCTCACCGGTCCAGATGATACCATCTACATCGAATGTACGAGCCGGGTCGTCGAGGCCATAACGGATAGGATCTAGTGCGGCAACCCGCTCACGTCGGAGGAGGTCAAGAGGGTCGATAGACGCTGCTCTGTGACCATGGGTGCGCAGAGAGTCAGCATACCTCAGCAGTGGAGCATTGACTGCACGGTTGGTGAGCTGGTCCGAGGAATCTGATCAGGGATTCGCGTGAGTAGGTGCAGTGCTACTCGGACAGTACACTCACAGTCCGGGATGGTAAAGTCGCGTGCTTTGCGGAATCCGAACGATTCGTCATGATACTTTCTGCGCACCACGAGCACGCGGCCGCTAGAGCGTTGCGTGAGGCAGGCAAGAACGTTCCGAGTCGGAAGATGGACCCGACCCGCAGAGATGGAGTTCATGGGGTGAAATACCGGTACTGACAAAGACCTTGTCGAGTCTTAGCGGGGAACAATGGCAGTGAATGTGGGGAAGAGACCAGTGAGCGCGTAAATTCCGGATCGGAACCCCATGATATTGATGATGAATATTAGTATGTATCACTTTTTTTTTTATCCGGACTAGTCCGACTCTTTTTAAAATTTATCAATATTCGAATATTCCACACCAATTTCAGTTAAATCGATTTGAGATATAGGAAGTGGTCTGCTGGACAGAGGCCTAGTATCCACTCGAATGGTTATGAAGGTTGATGCTAATGTAAAAGATGTAAAAGGAATCTCGCCTTCATTGCCCTTTATTTTATTTCCTTTTTAGTTCAAAGTTGTCATCATTCTTGTGTCGTCAATGAGCGCTTGAACTGACGCTCATCAGTAGCGTAGTCAGCCAATAAAAGGTCGTTAATCGACCTACGTGGCCAAACCTTTTCGCTACACCCCTCTTACTCGTACGTACCTGCCCCACTCACACTTTCCTCTCAAACATAAATACTCGCCTGTAACTCTCATTTCCACAAGTCAATTGATACCGATCCATGATCCGGTGGGCCAGATCGGCATCTTACAACCGCTGCCCGAACCGCCTCAGTCATCATCCGTCTTCATCTCTACGTAGACTTTGTCCCTGAACCAAACTCGGACTCGATAAACTTAATCTGTCTGATCCACTTTCGGTGCTTGCTTGCTTTTTGATACATTGCAAGTTCTGCATTTGCGCACACTCCTAACAAACTACTGTGTAACTGTGAGTGTCTTTCAACCTTAGGCTTGTTAAGTGCAGCATCCGCATTCAAATAAAAATCGGAAAGCGAGCCGGTCGGATTCATATTCATGCTCGCTCAAGCGCTTTGCGATCCTGATCTGCCCGTCACTCGCATTCTAGTCACAAGTCATTCGGAAGGGCATATTCGTGAAGCATTTGCTGAAAAGGTACGTGACCTTGGTGATATTGAGAAAATGAGTCGAGGGATGCGCGAAAATACGCCGGAGCGTATCACTTCTGGATCTTGTACAGTGGGAATGAGATTACCTTGGATTGTGGCTGTAATATGTGAACGTAGCAGAAGAGTATTAGAGTAAGGATGCGCCGGGGGACAATTGTTTCAACGATGTCACTGCATCCATCAGCTTTTATCACGCATCGAGGTCAGGTCTAGTACTGTGATTTTTATTTCCTCGAGATCGATCGATAGGCAGCAGCCTGCGGATAACATAGATCGTTAGAAGTTGCAAAAGCAAGTGACAGTTTTCCTCCTTGCGCCGTGGCAGTGGCGCTCCACAAAGGCCGTGTAAGAGAGGATGTAAGAACCATCCATTATCGTTGGGTAGGTCGTCGAGATTGATATATGGGCCAAATACGTTGATGATATCCCTTCCTTCAAGCATCCTAATTATAATAAACCATAAGCTGCTAATGACATTGAACCATTGCTGAAGCACAGTCAACACAAAGCACGAGGCCACGTCATAACTACAGTGCCTTTCCACACGAAGTGTTGCTACATCTTCAATGTCGACATGACTAAATATGAGCGAAAACCGTCTCTTGCTGGTGTATGCAGTGAAATACAAAGAAGTCGAATTGCATATATCAAGTCTGATCTGAAGGGTGGACAAGGACGTTTGAGCCCGTCCTGAACTAGCCTGACGAGTCTCCCCAAACCGCCCATGATCCGATATTATTAGTGGGGAAAGTAACACGAAATACATATTAATATGATCGATGCTAGGATAGGGATGGTATGGATGCACCGCAAACACAATATTTGCGTGCATATATACCATTCCTACCCTCCATCTCCTTCAAGTTCTATTGCGCAGAATCGAGAGAAAACATATATCAGCTTCCCACATCAAGGGTATGAAATGGAAACATCGAAAAGTTGAACAACACTGTAAACAGGACTTCTCCCGTAACGCACAGATATCAAGATGTCTGAGCGCTACCTCTATGTGATTTTACCCAAGAGTCTACCTTGTTCTTATCTCCAGCTAGTCCATGCTCGGCCCTCAAATGTCGGCGAAGATCATACGCGCGAGTTAAGATGTGGTCACAGTGTGCTGAAGAACCAGAAAGCGGAGTTTCTGGAGGTAATAGCAGTAGGTCCTCGACGTTGGGGTATGGACACCGTATGGTTTTCGACGTTGGCATACGACTGCGGAGGGAGTAAGCATGTCCCGTGATTCTATCGATGCTCAAGTGCGCTGCTGAGCCTGCCGGTTCGTTGTTGGAACAGTCGGTATCGGTATCAGTGGTTGTAGCGCCGTCTGACTCAGACGAATCTGTGACAGATTGATCACTCCTTGTACTATGAATCTTAGCCAGGTGCCTTTCGAGGAGGTGTTTGTAGCCAAAAGCACTGGAGCAATGTTGATGTGGGCAGACATGATTTCTGTGGCCGAGATGAATCACGTTGTTGTGCGTCGTGAGGGCTTTCATCTATGCATGACGTCAGAATGGATTGAAAACAAATGTCCGTCGACGACCGTACAGATTTGAATTCTTTCCCGCATTTGTCGCATTTCCAGTCTCTGCCTACTTCTCCACCGCGTCTGCGTTTACGAGGCAGATCTGTTGCTTCCGATTGTTCTACGTCTGCTAGAATGGTTTCTAACTCTTGTTGTTCGTGTAGTTTCTGATGAGCACGCAAATTATGTTGGGAAGCGAACGTTCGTCCATGGCATGAGGAATGCATGCAAGTTGGAGGATGGATCTCGCGTATATGGGCCTGGAGGGATGTCCATGTCGGGTAATATGTAGGGTCAGTGTTAGTTAAAGGTAAGCACTTCGGGTGTGTACACGTGTAACGTTTATCTGAATGAACGATAAATCGTCATCATGCACACGGATGTGAAGGTGCACGAACCATCATGAGTCTTGATGTGACCTCTAAGTTTTTGATTCGTATCGAACGATTTGGCGCACCCTGGGTGTGTGCATATGTAAGGTTTCGTACCCGGGGGTGCATGTACTTGGCAGGTATGAGATCGCAGCTGATGGTGTTTAGCAAACAGCTCGTTGCAGCCCTCTACTGAGCACTGAGAAGAGAAAATCAGTGCGGATGGCTTGGATAGTGGGGATAGCACCCACAGCATACGATTTAGCCCCACTGTGCGTATTCTCGTGCACCTGAAGGTGCTGGAGGGTCCAGAACCGTTTCTGGCATGTTGCCGATTTCATACATACATAAGGGCGTTCTGACTCAGGCAGATGGCTTTTTGCATGTGCTTGGAGATGGGATTCGCGCAAATAAGACTTTTGACAAGTCGTACAGACGTAGGGACGCTGTTTGAGCTGATTAGCACGCAGTGGGCGTAAAACGGCACACGAGACCATGTCACCTCTCCTGTATGGGACCTTATGTGCTCTGCTAGCCTACAGGCTTTTGAGTAAGACTTTGTGCATCCAGAATACGTGCAAGGATGGCGGGCTTTCTTTGAGCAAAGCTCTGCGGTATCGTAGATGGCGAGATCCTCAGTCGAAGTTGAAGTTGATGGCTCGGGTTGTGGACTCGCAGAAATTTGTAAAATATATCTGGTGGCCTTGCGTTTTCCAAGGACTGTCGTCGATGACAACGAGAGTGACATTCTGATTAGCCCCGTGATAGGCACACCTACTTATTCCCGTAGAAGTGGAATGGAACCAAGTTTGATTTACCTATAACTTGTATTTTTGCCAATCGGGGTTTGTGCGTGGATAACTTGTTCCCGCCCGCTCATTGCTCATGCATAGCCTGTCGGCGCCAACACGAAGAGAGACCGTTCTGCTCATTTTCGTATTCGTTTCATTGTTATTATTCTCAAGAATAGGCTATGATACGACCGGGATCAAATTCTGGGATGTTGATAAGTCAGGCGCGTCGCCTGCACATACTTCGGCGCTTGGGGAGTCTTGGAGGACACGAATAACATGGTCAAGCGGACACGTACCAAACACCCGTGTAGTGTCTCATGTCCCTGGTGCGTTCTTGTTTCAAGTCGCTTGAGCCGTCCCAGGCTGATGAGCCTCCTATAGGATGGACTATTTTTGACAACCTCTTTGTCTTGAACGGCACTGTTTTTGTTGTGACGGATTTCCCATCAAGTATTCCCGACCGTCTTACAATCACTTCCACTGCCGTGGATATTTTCAATGGTGAAGATGCCGTAAATAGTCGAACACCAGGGGACCGCGAGATGCAAATTATTTCGACTAGTCAAGCTCAAAGGTTGTTCGGTTCAAGTGCTGAGTCGATTGATGGGGTAACAGTGAGTATTCTGAACCATCATAACTTGTGTTGGCTGCTCAACCTTGAATTATGTGGTAGTGGCTCGTAAACGATCCTCCTCAATTGTAAGTATCAGGGGCTAGCAATCAACTAAGGCTCATTTAAAATGTCAGCATCACCCACTATTATCACTGGTCGGCTGAACTCTTTTTTGGGTTCTGGCGCACGTATTCCTCATTGGACACTAGCATAGATGAGATGGGAAAATCTATACTTCCCGCCCTTCGCCGTATATTCTTTGTCCATGCGGATGGAGACCATTGGAGGGATTATGCTCTGATGAACCAATGGGTCTTGCGTAGCGCCTTCCCCTCTTTGACGACAGAATACTCTTATGACTGGGAAGATCGTGCAACTATGGGTCGTCCAATGATGTTGGATCGTGTGATCTTTACTGACCGAGCCGCTGCCATGCATGGCCATCATTTCTTGAGCACCGGGCGAACAGCAGCAGAGCCATCTGCTTTACCTGGGAGTGCGCACTGGTGGAGTACGATTCGCGCGAACGTTATCCGCGTTTGCGGGCTGGACCCCAATGTAGTGGGTGATATGGCGCAGACGCCTGTCATCACGTACATATCGCGTCAAGAGTGGGGACGTCGTATGCTCAAACAGGAGGATCACGAGCGTCTTGTGGAAGAGCTTCATAAGCTTCGAGACTTGTATGGGTACGAAGTGAACGTCGTGGAGATGGACAAGCTTTCTCGAGCAGAGCAGTTCGAGCTCGCGGCGCGAACCACGGTTTGTCCTAATTTTTATCTTTTAGTGTGGTATGACTGACGATGGTGTTTTATAGATCATGATGGGTGTCCATGGTAACGGACTCACTTCGCTGGTTTGGATGAGGCCATCACCTCGAGCTACGGTGATGGAATTTTTCTTCCCAGGAGGATTTGCACGAGATTATGAGTACACCACCCGGGCTCTTGGCATGGTACATTACGGATTCTGGGGTGACGAGTGAGTGCGCTTTTTTTGTCGTAGCGGTATCGTCTGATAAGTGTACAGGTACTTTACGAGTCCTGACACCCCAGAGCAGGCGTACCCTCCAGGGTTCCAGGGAACGAGCATTCCTATAGATGGAGCTGTTGTGGCGAGATTGTGTCACGAGAGGCTTTCGCTCCAGTGAAATTGACTGGGCCGGTCTTTAATGAGATAGAAAACAGATCGAGTTTAGATCTACTCGGACTTGCATTATGCTACGCTGCTTGGCTGTAACTTATGAGGCTGAGAGTTTTGCAAGGAGTACTAGTACTTGGATTAAAACATTACAAAGAGTCGTACTCCTTTATGCCCATTCACATTCACTAACAACGCCTATTTGTTTGTACACCAAAACTTTGTGAATGTTAGAAGGCCGACGATTTGGCAGTACGTGACATGACATCATGGGTGGTCTCGGGTGGACGAAGAAGGGGAAAGAGTCCTTACCCCCGTTCGAATTATCTCCTTCAGTCAAGTTTGTCAATATTGCCATGATTAATTACACGGAGGACCACAACTTGAAGTGATAATATCACACGCACACGCTAATCATCCAGTGCATCCAGTAAATTCTCCGCCTTTGCCTTCTTCCACCTCTTCTCAGTAACTCTCATAATATCTGGGAACCATTCCCCAAGCCTGCCCTCCGCTTCTCGTCCCAACACCATATCTGCCAGGGCCTTCCCACTTAACCATGCATGCACCATCCCCTCCCCTGAATACCCAGCTGCAATCCATTCCCCCGGCGCAGCACCTATATGCACCCCCTCCTCCTTCTCGCTTTTCACAACCGAACTCAACGGTGGCTCACTCCTTCCAGACACCACACGCGGCAAACGGCCAACCCAAGGTATCAAATCCACCGAAATGCCCAAAATACCACTCCACAACGCCTTGACGCGTCCCTCCGCCCACATTCCCTCACCCCCCTCCAAAGGTACTCCTTCCCTTCCCCAATTATCCTCCCCAAAATACCTAGGAAGCACACCAGATAGATGTGCCGCGGTACGCGTGCTATACGTTGTATCGTCCGTATTTGCCATCGCTTCGTATCCCTCGTCGCCGTCTTGTGCGAATCCGCCCCCTAGCATGAGTTCGTGTTCGCCTGTGGGGAGTTGGGTGAGGTAGTCGTAGCCTATTGGTCTGGTATAGAAGACGAAAGAGCGGTGGGAGGTAGGGTTAGAACCGGGAACGGGGAGGGACTGCCCAGGGCGTTGGGCTGACATGTTACCTCGGAAGGGGATGATTTTACCCCGGAGCTTTTCGAGCAGGGTTGATGCCCAGCCATTCGTTGCGTGGATGATATGCGGGGTTGTGATGGTTCCGCGGGGGGTGGAGAGGGTATAGTAGGGGTTGGAGGACGTTGGAGGTGAGATAGAGGTACATGGTGTGTTGGTGCAGAGTGAGAAGCTGTGGTGTAGTACGTCAGTTTGATTTGTTTCGGTGGCAAGAGGTTATTTACCGGTCGGGGTATCGTGATAGAAGTTTTGCGAGAATTCCAGTCACAAATTGGTATGGATGGATTGCGCCTGCGCTGGATGATATGCAACCAAGCGTATCAGATGCCAGGCGGTATTTCTGGCCCAAAGGATAAGTTTCTCTTCTATGATCGGGTTGTAAAGCATACCTCGATAGCTTCTTTTGCTTCGTATACCTCATGATGCTCAGCATCGAAGGCAAGGTCTGCTTTATATGCTTGGACCTTTCTTTTCGCCTTCTCGAACATATCCGAGTTATAAAACACATCTACTGATTCTACTTCCCGCCACTGAGATTCTGTAAGAATACCTTCTTGTTCCGCGACGCTCCGTAGCTCCTCAAGATGTGCCAACCTCAATTTAATGATCTTTTGAGCTACAGCTTGTCCGTGATCACGCTTGAGCGAAGTGTAGTCATGATACAGAGGCGGTGAGATATGTCCACCGTTTCTACCGAGAATGTTAGTCCACTGGTCTATGAGAGTCGATACGAGACTCACCTCCCAGTCGCCCCAGAACACACATCTCTTGCTTCCAACATAACAACTCTAACATTATGCCCCTCAGCACTTGCACTATACAAAAGCCTCCTCACGACCGACGTCCCAGTAATACCTGAGCCAACAACGATAAAGTCAGCATGCGTCGGGAGTTGTGAAACGTGAGTGGCGATGGGGGAGGGTGGATAGGACCAGAATGAGCGGCTAGGGTTTGGGAGTGGGAACCCTGGAGAGCGCTGGATGCGCGCTTGCAGGGTTTGGAAAGTGTGAAGATTGTCAAGGAATTCGGTTAGCGCTAGGCGAATGAGAGAGAGTGTGTTGCCCATCGCGGGAAGAAGGAACCAATGCGGTTGTGCCTCAGTCACAGTTTGTGGTGTTCTATTATATGTTTCCTTGCACTTGAATGATCTTTAAGTTATTTTTGTCGTCTTGTAGAATCGACATCCCATCCTAACGGCGTTTCGTATGAGGAACATTCTCTGTTCAAGTCCCATGCTTGAAGTTCACAAGGAGATTCAGAAAAATGTTCAGCTCAATCGAAAGTGTACCGGCACATACCATTGTTTCTGTACTGACATTTCTCTATGGCACATCTAGGAGAATAGTTCGAGGGCCGCTGTTGAGATGTTGAAACGTTGATTTTTGACTCTTGGAGCTCACGGCATGGTGAGTCACCACCACGTCAAACATACCCCGGCCACCTTGGACACTGCATCTCGTTCTCTGTGCTGTCGTCCAACTGACCAGTCATTAACGGCATCTTCACGGCGAGTACTCATTAAATATCATTTTACATTGCGTTGATGCATGATACACCATCATGTACATTTTGAGAGCGTTGAGATGAATTGAAGAGTACTTTGTTGGAAATGTACCCGTGTTCGTGGACTACATCAAGCATGACATCATCTGCGAAGAAATGGACATGTTTTGAGCCATTCCTCGTCGGAGTCGGCGAGTCCTACCCTGAACGCCGTAAACTCGAAGCGGGACCTCGTCTGAAGGAATGTTCAAGGCGGTTGGCCTGCCCGGCCATTTACGGTATCTACGTGATGAGTGCTCATTGTCGAATATCATTCGAAACTGCGCTGATATGACCCCTTGCATGAGCTCGTTTTACCCGAGAGTGTTGATGAGTTGAAGAACGCCGCTATGTTGAAATGCACGTGTTCATCACTACATCAAACATGCCATCCTACCTCATCATACGCGGGGAAAAGCTTTGGAGTCGCTCTTTGTATGAGTCCTATTACTCTGAAACGATGTAAACCGGAAGCGGGGCCATCGTTTGATGCAAGGGAATTAGCTTATCTGGTCATCGATAGTATTTACATGGTGAGTGCTTACTATTGTCGAATGTGACTATTTACACTAATACGACTCGACGTATTGGCACCATGTTTTACTCCAGGGTGTTAGCGTGAGTTGAGGAACGTTGCGTTGAAACTGCTCATAATTACATCAAACATACTATCCTACGTGAGTCATTGCAATTGCCTAAAGTTCGAGTGAGAATATCGTTTGATGGAATGTTCAAGACAATTTGTCTGCCCGGTCATCACCGGTTTTACATGATGCGTACTCATAAATGTACACTGGCTGGGACCCTGCGCGTGCGACGGCGATCAAACATGATCATTACCCTGGTCTTAGTCCAGGCATCAAAGGAGACTCGGCGGTTATGTGCTAAGGCACACTTCACCTTTGAACCCTTATTTTCCTGGAATTTCGACAAGTAGCCACGGGAAGTATCTTTATTTTTTGCGCCGAGCTGCTGGCACACAAGTTTATGCCGTTGTCGTCGGACGGAATGTTCCAGATAAGAAAAGTAGTTTGCCTGCCAATCAATGGTATCCATACGCTGAGTACCCATTGTCAAATATCAATTTACTGATACGACCCCACGCAAACGGAATACTTTAACCGTTCAGCTGCGAACAGTCTTCGCTGATCATCCTGCTCCATCGCAATTAACTAATCCTATGAGATCATCCACTCGATAGTGAACCTAGAGTCGCATTGATCCGTATCCCATGGGTCATTGTTGACGCACACGAGGGGGTCCACAGGGCCAATAAAGAAGTCTTCTGTCTCGCATGTGGGTTTGTGCGACTGGTAAGGCTTCTTATGCCTGCAGGCACCCGCCGGGTCGACATTGGGAATCATACTTTATGAGCCCACCTAATATGCCAACCATGGTCACACGTATCCAACGCTGTACTGCGGATATTCTTGAGGCACTATCCGGATGAGAACGACTCCATGGCTCGCAAAATCCATAATTGGAGTCGGCACCGATAACTGTCTGGGCCTTTCTTTCGTGTGGCACAACCGGGATTTTTCCGAAGCTCCGTCCCATTCGAAGATGCCACCAAATGTCATGATCTGGAATCACTTCTTATGCCAATGAGCATCTAAAAATTACATGCATGAAGGCGACACCACTGATATGTGGCTGCGTTATCTCCATCGAGTACAAAGGTTCCGTTGAAGTCCGGAAAGGCCCGCGACGGATATTTTGCGCACGAAAACATCCTCAAACTTGGACTGACCTCCAATGTCATGGACACTCTGAAGACACTATGGTCCAGATTTATGACTACGTCATGGTGTCGAAAAGTGCGTTGCGCCGGAACTGTCTAAGTTTTGCTTTGATGTCGTGTCACAGGATCTGGGTATAACCCGAAAAGTAGCTCTAAACCAAAATTTGACCCTTGAAACCACCAGTTCCTGCCGGTGCAGATCACCTTGCATTCTCATTGTTGCAGTTCACGCGCATACTCGCAAGGCCGCCGCCAAGTACGACAATGGCTAAAAACTTTAAGCACTTCAAACCCACTTTGTGAAATCATCATGATCGATGCTAGTCTCTCGAAGCACGCTGGTGGATTGGGGTGAATATTCAGCTCAAGGTCTGCACAACTCCCTCAATTATATGGTATGACTAACCTTTTGCTAGAACATTGACTTACCTCGTGACAAGGATGTGCATCAATCAAGTATTCAGCATCGACCGGCGCTTCTGATCTTGAAGCCCATCACACTCTGCCCGGGGCCTTTAACTCAATTTGTCAACTGACCCTTGATAACGTGAGTGAACTGCTGCTTAAACCACCGGAGCTGTTCCCCTTGGAGGTACATATTTCAAGTTATTCAGTTTTGTGGAGCGCAACAAGACGCCCTGACTATAAAGACATATCAACCAGGGGCTCAAACCGCACACAATTACCTGTATATTTTTCTTCCACTTCAAGCCAACTCCTACCTAAGTAACGATTTCTCGTTGTCATGAATGCTGAACAGTACGTCCTGCAAGTCTCAGATTTTGACCTTTGTCATATCTGATATACCCAAGATTCCGTAGGGCTGGTTATCAAGCCATCGATAGGATATGTGACTACCATGTCACCTTGAGGGATAGACCTGTCTTATCCCAAGTTGAACCAGGGTACCTCAGAAAGGCGCTCCCGTGTGCGTATTTTTTTGTTTTGCCTCGTGCTTGCTTCTTATCGTCACGAGCGCAGCCTCCGCCCCCACTGAAGGCGAGGACTTCCAGCTCATCGCTGACGACTATCAAAAGTACATCATTCCTGGTACTTGACTCTCATTATTGCACAAATTGACCTATCTCATTTGGACTGGCAGGCCTGACACACTGGCAACACCCCTCATTCTTTGCGTACTTCCCTACACCAAGCACATTCGAGGGCATACTTGCAGAACTATACGCGTCTAGCACGTCTAACCCTGGATTCAACGTAAGTATCTCTACCGCAACACTCCCGCTATCTTTGTAACTTTTGGTAGTGGTCTGTGAGTCCCGCATGTACAGAGCTTGAGGCTGTGGTCATGGACTGGATCGCTCAATTGCTTGGGCTTGATGAGTCGTTCTACAACACCTCCGAGGTCGGTGGCGGCGTCATTCAGGTCTGTTTCTCATCCATTCATATCGCTAATTTATACTGATCTTCATGCACTAGACGTCAGCATCTGACTCTGTGTTAGTCGCCACTGTCGCTGCACGTTCACGATACATTCGTGAGCACCCTCAGGTAGCGATGGAGAATCTCGTGCTCTATACCACTACCCAAACCCACTCGCTTGGGAAGAAAGCTGGGCTTGTCTTAGGTCTCAGAGTGCGCGCACTAGCAGTCACAGCTCAGGATGACTTTGCATTGCGTGGAGACACACTCAAGGTAGCATTGGAGGAGGATATGAACGCTGGGTTCCACCCTTTCATCTTGAGTATGTTCTTCGCATGGATAGCTGTCCCGAAATTCATTTTGCTCGTTCTGCAGTCGGTACTGTAGGGACGACATCTTCCGGTGCTGTCGATCGGCTGGACGAGATTGCTGATGTTGGTGCGTATATTGATCATGTTATTGAAGCTCCTTAAATTTACATATTGCGTGTAGCAAAACATTACCCTTTCCTTTGGCTGCATGTCGATGCCGCATGGGCAGGCGTTGCACTCGTGTGTCCCGAATATCGCGAGGCATACCAACTTCCCACCATCAATAGTTATGTAGATTCTTTCTGCACCAGTTTCTACAAGGTCTGTTTACTCCTATTTTGTGGCATCGGACTGGGACTCATCAACATTCTGCAGTGGGGTCTAATCCAATTTGATGGCTCTTGTTTGTGGGTGCGGCACCGGAAAGATTTGACAGACGCACTAGACGTTACACCCGAATTTTTGCGGTCAAAGCACGGAAATGCTGGTCTGTTGATAAATGTTATAACTGTTGGTCGTTGCATAAACGACGAATTTGTATAGGCACCGCTATCGATTACCGCAACTGGCAGTTAGGCCTTGGCAAACGGTTCCGATCGCTCAAATTCTGGTTTGTTCTTCGTGCGCGGGGAGTGAAAGGCTTCCAAAAGTACATCAGCGACGTGCGTCAGCCCATTTATTATCATTGTCCTCTACTGATATTTTGTCCTGTCTCGTCAGTGTATCAAGTTGAACACCAAGTTCACACAGAGCATATATGAATCCGAGTTATTCTCCGTCGTCACCAAGCCTTCCCTTTCCATGACAGTCTTCAGGCTTGCACCCAAGTCCCTTCCTCAACTCAGGACTTCCGAGCTAAATACTTTGAATCGTGCCTTTTATGCACGGCTTGCGGCACGGAATGATATTGCGATCACCCAAACAGACTTGAATGGGGTGTTTTGTATTAGGATGGTGATCGGGGCTGAACAGACTTTAGAAAGTGATGTCGAACGCGTGTTAGCGTTGATGAAGTATGAGGCGATGGTTTTGTTAAAGAACCAATGGGAGGGGATTGGAGGTCGCAGAGGTAGGAAGACGGATGTGGTCCCATTTCACTCCCATTAAAGATATACCTATTGTACTTGTACTTATCTGCAGTCATAGTCGATGCCTGTGTTTATTATTCCCAATACCTTTGGGTGTACCCTTGTACTCGCTCTCTTTCTTCTCATATCGCCTGACTCTTGTGGCTTTGTTCATCGACTATCTCCCTGTATCAGTCTGTCATCCGGATTAGACTATTACTTTTTTCCCGCGGTTTTGGGCAATCATGGCAGCGTTTCATTGCTCCCTTGCAGCTAATTTCAAGATCGAGATCGCTTCTAGTAATACAATACGAGTATGATTGGCATGAAAAGTGTGATAATGAAGCCGAAGTTGAGAAGGCTAACAAAACTGTAACGTCCAACAGATGGTACTGGTAACACGAGGCCTATTGTTTGAGATGGCGTGATAAAATGTGCTTTTGAAGAGTACAGAGTTCTTCAGCACGACAGTAAAATACGGTAAGAAGACAGACACAATTTCTCGAATATTAGTGTCCCACACTCAGGACTGCGAAGATGTTCCTATGATTTGATGGCCGAGAACGGAAGAAGATTTGAAAGTTTCGAGACGCTTGTTGACCTTTTGCCAGTTCTTCCAGCAGTGTCTCCCACCGAGTATTTGGTTAACTTGGTGGATGCGAGGCAGCATGGAGAAGATGGTGCGAGCGACAGCTTCAACATCCACTACGTCAGGGGAATCCAGATCCAATGATTGTAGGGAAGTATGTTGAAATGATTCGGTTGTCGGATCAATATCGATATGTTCAGTGTCAATAGGTATTCGCAGTTTTTGCAAGTGGGGACATAGGCGAAGCGCTGCGAATAATCCGCGAAATGTAACGGCAGGTGAACGAGGATAAAGGTCCCTATGGAGGTCCGTTAATTCCAATGAGCGGATGTGTGGCCAACTTGACATGGCTTCGAAAAGAAGGTCGTTATCAAGATAGCTGCAGCAATAGGGAAGAATGAGCCGCAGGACTCGGAGTTGCCTGAAACAAAACAACTGTCTGATCGGTGTAAACAAGCTGCCTGAGAGTTCCTGGACCACTAGGCCACCGGCGAAGATTTTGACGTATTCGAGGGTCTGACATGATTTGCACTGTGACAGTGCACGCAAAAGCAGGTCACCCTCTGCCCTGTGCAAAGTATCCACATTGATCTTGACCCGCTTCAGCGAGGGCAATTCAAAATTGTGCATGACTGCGATAATGTATGCTGCGCTGTCAACGGAGAAATAAAGATCCGTGACCTTGAGGGAAAGTGCGAGATTGAAATCGTCGCTACCGAACGGATGAAGGACTTTGCCGTGAATCCATACTGTAAGAAGGGTAGGGAGCATAGAGAGGTCCTTCCATGCTGCCCAGTCGAGCGGTGGACAACGCAAATTTACAAGTCGCTTGCACAAACAGAAAATAGTACTGTTAGACAGTGGGGAAAGTTCACGTGATGAACCACAAGGTATGATGGATAAATCCTCCAAGGCAACACAACGGGTCAGAAGAACTTTGAGATCCGGCTGAATCTCCGATAAGACGCAACAACGCAACGTGGGGGACAGGAAGAGATGCAAATATTTTGTCGGATGTAGAATTCGAACCAGTGCTAATGACAGCAGTCTCGGGAAGATGCATGTTTCGATGGGAAGAGCTGAGATAAGATGAAAATGACTATCGCGGCTTATGGAAATTGAGCGCACACGAGCGGCATGGCGCAAAAACTGACGGGTCTCGTGCTCAGATAGGGGATCGACAGATTGAGAACAGAATGGCTGCCCTTCAGGACGTCGAATAAGCTGCCTTGAGAATTCATGCATGGCAATATCATGCTATATTATGAAAGAACTGAACATATCGGACGTCGTACAAATCATCCAAACTCACCTTTTTATCGCCACCATATATCATTGGATGCAGTCTCGTAACACAGCCTAACAGTGGTTCTATTCCATCCATGTTAGCCCAAAGCAGATCCATTGCAGGCTCGTGGAAGGCTTTGCATGTGCTAGCAAGCGCTGCAAGGGATTTTCGAGACCATGAATTTCTACTACTAATTTTCTCGTGGTTCACGTGCTCGAATATGACCAGTAGTACATCTGGTACAAGGAGAGCCCGATGCTGCATAGTACTTGCAAGTGTTAACGTGAGGCGAATGGAATGGAATCGGGTGAGCAGATTCCGAAGTCTGAGTGTGGCTCGTAGTGCGGCCCGGGTCCGGTACTACTAGCCCGGCCAACGAGAGGCTATGTTGGATCTCAGTTGGTACTTACCACTCGACAACCATTAATGTTGACCTATGCTGGCTCATGGACAAACAATCATCCTACATACCGATCGCAATCGATTTCCCTTGCACTCTCGAGCAGCTGGTCGGACTCACGAAGCTTCCCCGCTGCCGCATCAGCTGGAGATAGTCTAGTTTGCGTAGTCCGAGCTGTTGGCATCAACGCGTAAGTCCAGTAGAATCGAGGTGTTTTACTTGTGAATAAACTTGAAGATTCGTAGCATGGTCTGATTAAACCATAGACTCTGAAGAGTGCAGGTTTTAGCGGCTGATTGAGAAGCACCGTGTTACACTTACTGGCAGCAGAAGCAACGGGCGAAGGTTGGGCAGGCACGACTTATATTTGCCGCGTCTTGCCCTCTCAAGACTCGGTGTAAAGAAGGAAAAGAGTTGGTTGCAACTGGTATTCAGCACTCTTTTCCGAGGATTCCTGCGAATACATTCCTTGGTTGTCGATGGGCCCAACCTGCGATTGCCGTCGTTGAATATTGGTTGCTGTTGTGATGCCACCGTGACACTGCGAACTCGGCAGAGGGTGCGAAACTTGAACTCTCTCACCACCCCTTCCCTGGGACCACCATGTGGCTGTCAGTGTGTGAGGCCTCAGCGCTCGGCTGGAGGTTTTATGGTCCCATGCGTAGCCAAATGTTCAGTTCACAGCTATCAATTCGCGCTGGGAGTTCTACTTGGACGCTAGGCTGCAATTTTACATCAAATAATCGTGCGACTCGTAAGATAACATAAACGACTCATACTAACCACCAGTATCTTCTTCACGCCGTCCTGCCATGGATATCGAGCAGTATGTCTTTTGCACTTAAATTCCTAATCCCATAGTGTTTACTCGTATCTGACATACCACAGATTCCGCAGAGCTGGTTATCAAGCCATAGACAGAATTTGTGACTACTATATCTCGTTAAGAGATAAGCCTGTCTCCTCCCAAGTAGAGCCAGGGTATCTCAGAAAGGCACTCCCAGGTGTCTACTTTTCATTCTGGCTTGTGCTCTCTGTCTGATCATCCCATTCCAGCGTTTGCCCCTACAGAGGGCGAAGACTTTCAACTCATCGCGGATGACTATCAAAAGTACATCATTCCTGGTAATTGGCTCTGATTTTGCACAAATTCAGCAAATCTCATTCGTACTGACAGGTCTGACACACTGGCAACATCCTTCGTTCTTTGCCTATTTCCCTACAGCATGTACATTCGAGGGCATTCTTGCAGAACTATACGCGTGTAGCACGTCTAACCCTGGATTCAATGTACGTCTTTCTACTGCAACCCACCCGTTGTCTTTGTAACTTTTGTAGTGGTCTGCAAGCCCTGCATGTACAGAGCTTGAGGCTGTGGTCATGGACTGGACCGCTCAATTACTCGGGCTTGATGAGTCGTTCTATAACACCACCGAGGTCGGTGGCGGGGTCATTCAGGTGTGTTTTCATTCTCACTCCCTTCACCAAATGTTATTGATACCTGTACCACATATAAGACATCAGCATCTGACTCTGCATTGATTGCAACTGTCGCTGCACGTTCGCGATATATTCGCGAGCACCCTCACGTGGCTATGGAGAAACTCGTGCTCTATACCACCACACAAACGCACTCACTAGGCAAGAAAGCTGGGCTTGTCCTAGGTCTGAAAGTGCGCGCACTGGAAGTGACAGCAGCAGATGACTTCGCACTGCGTGGAGAGACACTAGAAGTGGCACTGAAAGAGGACGTGGACGCTGGGCTCCACCCTTTCATCCTTGGTATATATTACCAATGGATTCTATATCGTGGAATTCACATTGTTCGTTTTTATAGTTGCTACGATTGGTACAACGTCTTCCGGTGCTGTTGACCGGCTCGGCGAGATTGCTGACGTTGGTACGTATACTGACCACGTACTTGGTATTGATGGAGTTCATCCCTACATGCAGCGAAAAATTACCCTTTCCTGTGGCTACACGTCGATGCCGCATGGGCAGGCGTCGCACTTGTGTGTCCCGAATATCGTGAGGCATGCCAACTTTCCACCATCAATACTTATGCAGACTCGTTCTGTACCAATTTCCACAAGGTTTGCTCCTATCTCGTGATATCAGCCTAGAGCCTGAAGTATTGATGTTCTGCAGTGGGGTCTAATCAATTTCGATGCCTCCTGTTTGTGGGTGCGACACCGGACACACTTGACCGATGCACTAGACGTCACACCCGAGTTTTTGCGGTCAAAGCATGGGGATGCCGGTGTGTACCTGCCGCTGGTTTTTATCTTCTGGGTCAATTAACGAAATGAATGTCGGGTTTGTCTAGGCACTGTCATTGATTACCGCAACTGGCATCTTGGCCTTGGCAGACGGTTTCGATCGCTGAAATTTTGGTTTGTTCTCCGTTCCCGTGGGGTTAAGGGGTTCCAAAAGTATATAACTGACGTATGTCAAGTATTGATGGTGGATTCCGATTGTAACACCTGACATTGGGCCTTGCCTCACCAGTGCACTAAACTCAACGCCAAGTTTGCAGAGCGCATACGGGAATCTGATCAATTCTGCTTCGTCGCAAAACCGTTCCTGGCACTGACAGTTTTCAGGCTTGCGCCCAAGTCTCTTCCCCACCTTACAACTCTCGAGTTAAACGCTCTGAACCGGGCATTTTACTCACGGCTTGCAGCACGAAGCGATATTGCAATTACACAGACGGATTTGAATGGCGTGTTTTGTGTGAGGATGGCGATTGGCGCTGAGATGACTACGGAAAGGGATATTGATAGGACATTGGATATGATTGAGCAGGAGGGACGCGCTACCTTGAGGGAGCGGGAGGACTAGTCTGTAACTAGTTCCATTGATTAATGCGTTGATTATCCGATAGAATATATACTTAGCTGAGTGCTGAGCTATTCTGATAACAAGATATCGATAGGCTACACGTGCACAAGGCACTGATTAAGATAAACTCTGGATGTAGTTTTGTCTCGCATGATTTCTGTGCTTCGGGCCTCAATGGGTCCACTTGAGTGTATACATGTGGCATTTCCTCGCATGACAGCTAGCACACTCGAGGTTTACAAGGTTATTTATGGAATATTGCAACCTTTAAAAAAATAATTCTTACAGAAACAGGTAAAACTTCTCATCAAACTCACGATAAATAAAAGCATATTGCCTACGTTCAAAGCCTATTCGAGGACTTGCCAACGCCGCCGTGATAACATTAATGAACCTGTGGCAAACCTTGGCAAACCTGTGGTAAACCTGTGATGTTCAGGACCGGTTCAAGTAACTTGTACCCGCTGCCAGCGGTGGCAACAGCCTAGAGAAGTCCAATAATCCGTTTTGGGAAAATAAATAACTCACCTAGGCACAAAAGTCGTCTGACCCTTATGAGCGTGATGGACTATTCATGGCCCTAGTACGGTTTAAATTATACATTAATGGCCGCATCTTTTCGTACAATTTCTTTTTGACCACCATGACCATGTCGATGAACAGGCATACTCCCTTGGATGTTTGCTCACAATCCAACGACGAGCATTGTCAGCTGAGCGTACGCTTCGACGACCAATGCGTTCTCATCCCTAAGCATCCTCACCGTCACCGCCTACCAAGGATAGTGACAAAGTCTTATTCTCTGCCGTTATGGAAGAGGCGTCCGTCGAACTCGGGCGGGCCGTCGTCGTCTCCAGAAACAGACGCCTTCGTACCAGAAGACAGTCATGTCGTCCTGCGAGTTCCGATTCCTAGGTAGGTCTATCGGTTGCTAGTGAATTAATCCACAACTAAACGCCGAAATGCGGGACAGTTTCTCTAGTAAAGCGCAATCTCCTACATGTACTCGTAATTCAGACCCTAAGCCGCTCTCCCCTTGTCTGGTTCATCGTTCCCCATCTGGCATTTCTGCCATCTCACAGGCAGCACCCGGGTCTCCCCAGAGTCCACGACCCCCAAGACGCACAGCGTCCTTGTCGCCTTCTCGTTCGGATCTCGTCACCATTCCGCTGCGACCATGCTGCGCGGGGTGTGAAGCCGTGACGGAGGCGTGTTTGTCGCAGGGAGATACTTGGACTGAACACTTCTCTCGGTCTGCACGCAGACGGCGCTCGCTCAGCACAGACGAGGGACCGCGGACCATCACAGTCGAAGGGAGCGTCGCTGCTGCATCCTTTGGGCTTGGTCGCGGTCACCCGATTAGCGTGGATGAGGTTGATAAGCGTCGGCGGTCGAGCGACTCGGTGGTGACGGCGTCAATGTGGTTGAATGAGGAGGGAAAGAATGTCATGGTTAATATGCAGCGCTCGTCATCGCCAACGCGCATACCGAACTTGGCTATGCCTTCTACTCCTCGGATACCGGAGGAAGATGATGCTGAAGACGATGAGGACCAACTCTTCCCTCTCCCGTCGCCTCGTCGGTCGCCTGGGGCATCTCCCGCACCCAGCCCATCTGCTTCTGCATCATGCATCGGGATTTGTAGGCCGAGTGGGAGCCCAGTGCCGTCAGATTCTTCATTGGTCAGCTTAGGCACAAAGATGAATAAAGACCCGTTCCTTGCACCCGTTTCAAGATCGTCTTCCTCTCTTTCGCTTGCAAAGACAACCGAGTCCGATGAAAATGTATCACGTGCACCATCGCCTCAAGTTCTTGCCACGGCGACCTCGATCTCCGCACGCTCTTTCAGTCAGTCCCCATCGCCGCAGACCTCGTGCGTTCCCTCGGTTTCAACACCCTCGTCTACTTGGACAGAGGCGCTTGGTGCAGGTGCAGATAGAGAGCAGCCACCACTCACTGTTCCCGCCTCTGCCTCGTCCCTGTCCACTTCTCTCCACACGTCAAATGGTTTTCGATCACATAATTCTACACATTCGCTCGTTCACTTGCCATCCACCTCGCCGAACCCCTCGACTTCCCTGCCTAAAAAACGTCATGGCTCATTGTCATTGGCTCGCCCCCGGCATATTATTGCCGATGTCCTTCGCGGTGTGAGTGCAGGAGGAAGTGGGGCTAGTGGTGTCGGTGTTCGTGTATAGGCCAGCATTGTTTTCCGTTTATCAACCAAACGGTTGTCGAGCTCCTACGAAGTTTCCTTTGCTTTGGCTGGTAATTTTCCATGCAAAGTCCTTATTTTTGTTCGTTTTGATTCACGAGTTTCTCATCCATTTTGGAGCGCATTGCGAATCACACCATTACTGGCATGTATATACCGCCCCTTCCTCCATTTCGTGTTTCAATGTATCATCAACCCACGTTATCTCTTCTCTCGTGTGTTTAGGTGTTCACTTACCTACCCCTACATGGTAGTGTCTCGGTCATTGGCACGCGTCCTTACAGTGTATTCATTCATACCCGGTTATATGATACTATTATGTTAATGCAGCAAATTTACTACTTTTTGTCACATGCTAGGTGAAGAGCGTTGCAGGTGCGCCCTTCGGGCCCACTCCTGCTTGCATCGAAGGTATATCCATGTGGTGACCTGTGAGATAATATGAGGCGATGGAAGACATTCCGACCGTACGCATCTGAGACGTGTTCAATTGTAACCGCCAAGATAGGTATTTCCAGGGCTGTGGTGATTAGTAGATTAGGTTCCTGAGCCTGCGCGGAGCGCTGAGGGGTACATGATCCGTATTGTACCTTGTATGTCCTATATGCCACACGCCACAGTCAAGTGATCGTGCTGAAGCGCTGAAGAAGGCACGGTGCCCATCCAGCAGGATGATTTCTATCTATGTAGAATTGACTTGTCATCAATCGACTGCCGGCGTTCTTTGAAATTAGCTTGCTGCTTGAAGGAAATAAAGCACTGAGACCCAACGGACCTGTCCTGTTAATTTTAATTTGACCATTGACTCTGAGTCGAGGAACGATTAAGATACCTCCAGAAGAAAATTGTGGATGTGTTGCATCTACACAGTCAAGAAATTTCTGTTGAGCGCCAGAGAGTCAGAGACCACTTATTTCAGCAGTCAGGCGCGTCGGGTCACAGGTAATGTCACAGTCACTGTGTCACGCGACGCGAGCGCGCCCGAATTATTGTTGACTGCTAAATTTGTCTCTTACTCAGGCTGTCTTGAGTCTTGACGTACGCTGTCTACAGCTTTCTGTAATTCTTCACCCTCAACGTGGACGATGTCAATGCGCAAGCTACCTTGTATGTATTTATCATGCCCGGTCTAGTGTTCCTCATAACTAACCTGTATCAGTACGAGTACTTTACACGGTCAACAGCTCTCCTCAATATATTCTTGCCCGGTCACCATCTTCTGTGCAGGTTACTCTTTGCCCATCTCCTTCTGCTGCAAATGCGCAGTATGGTTTGGCACCACTTAAAGCATGCCTCAATGCTATTTGCAACTCAAGGTGCGTATTCTCGTGTGACTTTCATTCCATGGACTCACCGCTTGGCAGCCCAGAGCTTCTCCTGGATAACTCCAGGGACTTTTCTATCTATGTACTGGACCCATTGGAGTCGCAAACTATGCCAGCCCATGTAGACTTTTCCCAATCGAACGCGGCGTCTACTTCAGTGCCGCAAGCAGCCCAACCACGAGGAGTGGCCGTTGCACTGGGGCTGATGTCGTGGGCACTCACAGCGGACGAATCAGACAGCGTGACCGTCACCGGTACAATCACAACGCTTGGTACAGGTCTTGATGCCCTAGAAGTGGTCTTTGCTCTCCGAGAGGTAATTACTCACAGCTTTCGTTGCATCCGATTTTGATTAATAGTGCTATCAGACTAAACACATCCAGAAATCTCACTTGTCTGATGCCTTGAAATCTTGGAGCCAGCCACCCAAGGCATCACATACAAATAAATCAATTGCACCTCTCGAACCCACTAACTCAGAAACCCCACCCTCATCACAAGAACTTCTCACTAGATCTGCCGATTTTCCTGAGGTTTACATCGGGCCTCCCAAGCGCGGTCGGGGCCGCCCTGAGGGTCCGAAGAAGAAGCCCAAGCAGTCAAAATCACAAAAACCTCATGCGTGGCCTGCAGCACCACCATTTATATGTGCTCCGCTCGTGCGACTACAGCAGCAAGAGCCAGAAGTGGCCCCTACCCATACACCTACTTCTTTACTTACAATACTCTCTGCCCTATCTACTGGGAGAGACAATACAGCGCTTTTGGCTGCTCTTTCGACGGTGGATTCGACACCTTCGGGATCAGAGCCAAGCCCAGCGCTGCTAAATGCATTAAGGGATTTGCTGGCAGCACAAAGTCAGAATCAACAGCAGTCGTCGCACGCGCTGCAGCCTGTCTCACGGAATAATCAAGACGATGATATTGTTATATTAGAAAAGGAACACGTAGATCCGACCGCATTCCGACGACGTGTGGAAAGGGAAGACTCGAGCAATTTGGTCACAACCACTGCAGATGAATCAGAAACAACCCCTCTGCGCCAGCGTCGTGCCTACATTCCACTAGATGGGAAAGAGAATACACATTCGTCCCCAGTGACCCGTAAGCGCAGGCTCAGTGACTTTATGGCGGAACAGGAAAACAATAAAGCTCGAAGAAAGCGTGCACACGCTCGGTCAGAATCCGGGCGAACATCGGGCTCCTCTGAAGTACCACAACCAATAATACCTCCAGGCCATCACCGCACCATTCGCTCAGATTTTGACACGAGTGTATCATCTGAAATGCCCACCAGTTCTTCGCTTTTCCGTCCGAGGTCATCTCCTTCCAGGCCGATGTGTCGCTCTGTATTCCAATCCCAGTCCTCCCTCGCCATGCCGCATTCGACACAAGCACCTGTAAAGCCCGTCAAAATTTTTGTCGTGCCAGAGTGGGCACGTACGAGCACCGCTACCCGACCAAAGCTCTCGAAGGAGGTTGAAGAACGTATCGCACTCATGGAGCAGGAGAAGAAGGGGAAACGCGCTGGACGGCGAACGCAGAAACCAGGATGTTCGCAACAAGGCGCCAGAGCACCGATCGACCTGCCTTTGGACGATAGATGTACGATGGTACACACACCTGTCGAAGAGGTGACCATGCCGCGTCTACAGAGTGCTCTTTCACTCTCCTTGCCTGTCTTTGCATCTGACGTATCTATATCGTCCCCCCTCTCGCCTTCTTCCCCTGTGTTAGAGACACCTCCAGTACCCAGCACACCTCCGCGGAGGACATCAGTTTTGCGTGCTACGTCGCGAAGCCTTGGACCCGACGAGGCTTCACCACTGTTCAGCCCAACTCCCAAATTATTTTGGGGTAGCACTGGAAAGACGCCGCACTTTCCCTCACATCCCCGCACACCTTCACGTACGGGTAAGAAACCTATCTTTTCTCCTATTCGCCTTCGCACACCATCTGCGAAAATATCTCCTCTACGACTCGGACTCAGACCGCGCTCATCCCTTGAATGGGCCAACAAGTCAGTTGAGCAACCCGTTGACCGCGAAGAAGAAGACCTGCTCGGCAAAGAACTCGACGATGCGCTTCAAGGGCTGGATGTCCCAGCGGTTAAGCAGCAGGACGCGACGGATGCCCTCGAAACTGGCGAAGACAACATAACGTTACCTCTATCTCCCCTTCCTCCCTCTTCCCCACTCCCGCCTACCAGCCCTTTGCTACTTCCTTCCACAGACGATCCAATGGAAGATTTCTTCGACAGCGATGCTTTCTTCAGTGACTCGGATGGAATACTGGGGGACGCAAGCGAGTTTCCGCCCTCTTCGAACTCCGATTGGTTTTCCTCGGATGATGATGGTGGAGCGGATATAGGCGAGTTGCTGACCTTAGACGGGACCTCAGGGCTGGATCTTGAAGGTTCTTTTTCACCGAATGCGTTTGCTGATATGGACTTTACGGAGTTTTGGGAGTCGCTTAAGCCTCTCCTTCAGGCAAGGGCAGACGAGGAGGGGAAAACAACTGTCAGCACGGACTCTGGAGCCATAATGGATGGTGTCAATGCGGACTCTGGAAAGCTTGCTCAGGAGGTACAGGTGCTTTTTAGTGGGTGCCTGATGTGACATTATGGACGCGTACGACATTACAAGACAGTTCAAGCAGAACTTCATCTACGAAATCCCATCCACTCTGCGATACAATCAGTATATATTAGATAGAAACTGGTGTTCGCAATATGTCGCAAAATATGTGAAACACTAGCACGTATATTGTGAGCTAGTACTACTTCAGAATGATATTGATCATACGTTGTGCCCAGAAGATCTACAAGCCTGAGGAACGGGAAGCTGCTGAAGAAACACTTGCCAGACGTACGGTCGACGAGCCACCATGTCCAGTTAGCATGCGGTACAGGACATGAAGCAATTCATCTGTAAGGCATCGGTCATGTTTTGATGCTTATGCTCGACGTCGTCGATGACCCGAACGACAAGTTACTAGTTATGTAAGAAGAGCAAGCAACACATTCAGGCACACATGCACGTGATTGTGTCACTCTAAATGAATTGTTACAATCTTCCTGCCACATGCGTTCTTGATGCATTGTTGCACTAACTTTTTGACTTCTCGCGCCATATCATGATGACGCTATTACCACATACCACTTCTCCAGTACACGACACGTTGACAATCGAGTGAACGTTGCCGGTCGTCGACTGTCACACCCACGTTGCAAATCGAAGATTCTGTACTTGCCATTTTAATTGGCATCCTTCTGATACGAAAGCCCAATAACAGAGGAAGAGAACGTTAACGAATTGATTGGAAGAAAAGCCCACGCAACTGCAACATCTACGTGGAGTGCACGGCTCTCCCATCTTGATCTCACTTCGATTACCAAACCTGAAGCACTATGCTCTGGGCCGCATCAGAAAACTCGTGAGTCTCACCAGGGTACTTTACGTTGATTGCAGGGGTTTTATATTCCAATATAACATTGTTTATATATGACTATATATCGGCATATATGACAATATCTACGGCTCACCAGTCCTCTGATGGCCCGCCATATGTATATATAGCACGAATGTCATTGTCATGCATCTACCAAGTTCGCCTCTCATTCTCGTCCATTCTCTCCCAATATGATTATAGTCTCAAACGGTCCCGCTTTGTGGCCGGCCATAAATGCAAATCGTGTGTACAGCTATTTTGTAGGTTCGTAGAGAGCAGTCGGGTGTTGAAGCTGATTTCTCAATCTAACCTTGGTTGCGGTTTCATAGTTGCCGCCTTCGTTGGAGTTACATATGATTGGGGTGAGCATGATAATATTAAAGGACTGCTGATATAGATATCTTACAAAGATTTTTAGCACTGACATTCGGACAGGAGGTATGTCAATGCTACGACCGACGCAGCCATCTCGCTAATAATCCTTTTATAGGTTGAATTGGTCTGGGCAAGTAATGTCTCATGTCAAAGGAACACGCATGAAAATACACTTAATTACAGAGGCAACCCTGGTCGCTAGTGACAGTTCTGTATCTCAGTGTATGTAACTTGTTTGTCGCGGTTGCCATGTTGTG